TAGTTTGATTCTAAAATGTTTTTCAAATAGTTGTTTCTATAATTTTTGATGCTGGTCGATTTATTTTTTCTGTGGAGCTGTTGCCAAAAGAGTTTTTCAGTCGCAAAACTGACGGCAAAGTATTTTTTTGTTTCTGATCAGCATGAATACATGATATCGCGAGCCTCCGATATTTACGTTAAAGTTCCTGGGATATTTTAATAGTCTATAACAACTCGCATTCGTATCTTTAGAAGCAGTAAAAGGACACAGGTCCACAATGCCCGGTAGAGGGTAGAGGGTAGAAGAAGCAATGCCAATGGCAATGGGAAACTCAAACACAAATTTCAATTCAAGAAAGCCCTAACCAGGCCCTAACCTAGCGAAACGATGTTGAAAACAACCCCAAAATAACTGTTCAATTCTCAATGGACGAAGCAACTTACCATGATGCAGTAAATCTAGGTATGTGGAATTTTTTTCCTATTTTTTTATATTAGCTAAGCCTAAGTTACTTAAAATTATTCCTTCCTTATACTCACATGTTTGTGCTTATTTGTTTGATATATGCATTGTAGATCACATAGAACATATAGATTTTGAAGGTCTGTTGAACAATGTGCTCTGTTATATGCATACAAAGCACACTACTCGAATTTACACTCATATATACATGCAATTTTTCTATTTGTTCGTAGATTGAAGACTCGTTTCGTGCAATTGGCACAACAGGAAACCTCCGCAAATTTTACTACGAAGAAAATTGTAAAAGAAGAAACGTGGATCAGAATTGCTTATACAGCCAGGTCATCATCTTGGTAGAGTGAGTCTTAGCTTAGTAGAACCCTAGTAGAACTGAACAACCAGTGTCTTAATGACTATACCATTCTGTTTCATGCATGCATGGTACTCCACTTAAAAACATTTTCTAAATTTTTTGCAAATGTGCATGTGTGTTAAAGTGTAAATAAAAAGTATTAAAGAGCTATGCTATAGAAGCAATTCCTTTAATGCGTAGTTGACTTGCTGTACTCAAACAGAAATGTAATTGATCTCATGTATTCAATATTATAATAATATAATAACGATATTTGTGCTGCATTGTTTGATGACTCGATCTGTATTATAGGTGGAAATCTTCGATGTAACGGAATATTTCGCCCAATTTAATTCTCTTTTCAATTGTGAAATTAAACCGAAGCAGATTTACTTGATAGATTACAATTGAAAAGAAAATCAAGCGAAAAATTTCCTTCGATCGAAGTAATTTACCTATATAGTAGAAAACTGGCCTGTTAAATGTGTTTAACTCCAATAATGGAGTTATGTTTTAAGTCCAGAATTGGAGTTAAACTAACTCCAAAAGCGGTGTTAAACTATAGCACCAGAAGTGGAGTTATTTGTTACTCCAAAAAGCTACTCATTTTGAACCTTTTTTTTTACCCCTTTTTTGGTGTTAAAATAACTCCCTAAAAATAACAGTGCACCATCGGGGCGCACTACTTAGTCGGATCTTCAATTCGTGACATTACTCCGTTTTGGTCCATTCTTTTTATTTCTCGTTCAGTTATTTGCGAAGTGGAATCGGTACTTGTCGTGGTACTGTGATCAGTGGCGTAGCCAGCCTGACGATTTTGTCCCGCTATGTAAATTTAATGTTATTATAATTATTCATGTCTTTAGAAATTTATTGTTTTCACAGTCAATGAACTCCTAGCTCCGCTACTGACTGTGATGGCAAACGGAGTTGCATCTTGAGTGATTTTGATATCGTATTCCAGGTTTTCGATTTGTTTGAGACCAGTGAAGAGATTAGGATGCTTTTCTCTTATGTTTTTTTTCTGTTTCAACCTTGTTTAGTACATCCGTTGGTACGTTGACTTGATTGATTAACTTCATATTCTGGGATGCTTGCCTTCCGAGTAGTGGTCTTTCTAAGCCTTTCACCACAAATATTTCTTCTGTCGTTGTCTGGTCTTCGTGTCGGAGCTGCGATGCGAATGTTCCAGTACAGTTCAGCTTGTGCTTACATGGACCCATTAAAACTTTGGTATCACTGTGACGCCAGCGTCACTGTCAATTTAAATCTGATGTTTTCTTTATTTACTATGATGTCTGCAGTCCACGGTTTACTGCTAGTGTTGCCGACAGTATTTCATCCAAAAAATATGCCTCATCTTCTGACGAATTCTCTTCCCTGTTTCCATGCTGGGAATTTAATTCGTTTATTTCTTGCTTTCGGAATTATTGGTCCGTTTGGCTTCGACACGCCTTTGCCCAATGTCCCTTCTTCGAACAATTATGACATATGGACTTGCTGGGCGCGATTGCCTGGAGTGTGGTGCTCCGAGACACCGTGAACATTTGTGCTTGTAAAATTTCTGTGTTTACGAGTACTCTGAGTAAAATGGCCTTCGCGCGAACGTTGTTGCTTTCTATATTCTTAGATATATGTTGTCGATATTGAGCTCGCTATTTCCGGTAACTTTTTTTCCGTGAAAAACACTTTGTTGCTTTTTGATTTCTTCGTTATGTCTTCCTTGAGACATAGCTTTCTCTAGAGTGAGATTTGGATCTAGTTGTAACTTCTCCGATAGTTTTTTGTTCTGCAGTCCAAATACGATCGATCTCGTATCAATTGATATTTCAGTACCCCAAATTCGCAGTACTTAGCGGGGCAATGCATGTAGGTCGGTAATGATGCTTTCCACGGGTTCGTTTTCGTCTTGAGTTCCAACATTAAATTTCGCTCTTTTTTAGTGATGAAGTAATTTTCGAACTTGTTTTGAACTGTTTCGTTACATTTGATCTCCTCGTCGCGATGCGATTATATCGTGCTCATGGTGTAGATGAGCGCGTTGACTTGTTTCTTCTTCGTCTTTCTTGTTAAGTTCTGTAGCAATTCTTAACCGCTCAAAGCGGCGAATCCATAGGGTCCATTCCGAGGATTAAAAGCTAAACTTTGAAGGCGGTGTTATTTGCGGTAGGTTGAAAAAAATCTTAAAATATTTTCTTCGTCGCGGTTGCTTGATTCTGCCATATTTATAAATAGTTATCTTTGTATAAAACCCCCAGCTGCCACCATTATGTCTCGAAGAACACTCCTCTTTAATATCAATCCACTTACTATATCACACTATATTAATTTTATCCGGTCCTGGTGATTTATTTGAAGGCATGGCATTTATAATGCGATTTCCTTGCAAGTAATAGAAGAGAACTTGAAAGGTTCACCAATATATTTCGGGGAAACACTTACGCTTGTTACATCGATTTTGTTAACTGTTGCAAGTTGTGCAGCAGCATTTGTTGCTTGATTTCTTACAGAAGTAAAGACCTTTAAAACCATTGGTCACCTGTATCATTATAGATTACTGTAGGTATATGTTGACCTAGCTGTCTCTTGTGGGAATGCTGATTATTTTCCACAACGATCCAACATTATTTTTGTTAGCAACAATCAACTTCGTTTCGTAAATATAATTTATCGCTGCATTTTTTTAGCATGTTTTTTGTTACTTGGAGAGAATTCTTATATTCAATGTCTGTTGGAATTTGCGATGGCGATTACCCCTATGAACGTTTGATTTCAGGGTGTACAAGGACGATTTCGGACTTTTATTGTCCTGATTAGAGCATGCTTTTCCAAAGTGATTGCGAGAACGTTATTGAACTTGCTTAATTTTCGGTTAGCATCCTTCTTTGGGAAGATTGGTAATAATATATAATCGAGCTTAAACGCAAGGTCAGCTGTAAACATCTCAGGAGTGTATTTCTTGTATGATGTTACTGTGATTTAAGCTTTTGTTTCAGGATCACTAATGGTAGTTTTTATGATGTCACTCTTATAAACGGGATCAGGACTTGAAACTATCATAACGTCGAACAAAGTTGCCCAAAATATATTACTATTCGAACGCGCAAAAGTGCCCGCTAAAGAAATAATTAACTTTTACTCTAGCTTCGAAGTGTTCAATTTTGCCCTGCCCACCTATCTTAGTGACGCTATTGAGCAAGTACAAAGAAGTATCACCTACGAAAGTGCAACCTTATTCCCCTCAGTGAACGGTGATACAAGGCCTGCTGAAAGCTATTTAATCAGCTCATCAATGACCCACGTCATAAACTATCATCCCTTCTGCCAGACCATCACTCTGTGAATTACGACCTCAGAAAAGTCCCCCAGTGTAAACTTCCAAAGATAAAAACAGGTAGATTTTTAAATAATTTTATTCCGGCGTGCATTATATACTTTACTAACCTTGGACCGGCTGTTCAAAAATCGGTTAATTACCCCTAACCCTGGGTTATATTTTATTAACTATAAGCTGAAATATTTTACTAAATAAAATGAACAAGCTAAGTCGACTCCATATGCATTATTACTTGAAAAATAACATTATATAGATGTCAACTTTAGTCCTTGAAGATTCTTCCATTTTAGATGTTTTTCGGTTTAACTTTGAGGGGATGTTGGTTTTTCCTCGAGCCTGCGCGGAGTGCAGTGCGAGGGTACTAATTCCGCCCGGAGATTAGGAATTTCACCCGGGTATTGTCATAGAACATAGCGGAATCCAAAGTTCTCCAAATTCTATGTCAGGAACCGTGAACGTTGGACATTCAATGGTCATGGTACTGGGCGCATGCGCAAAATGTGAACGAGTAAATGATGGTATTTAGCAATTGGCTGATTGGCTAAGATAAAATGTTTGTATCTCAAAGAAAAACGTCAGCAATTTAACTGTCATTTTTCAACCTTTTTTTTTACCATGTTTCGTATTATAAAACTTTTAAAATTAAAATGAAATATTGAATGAAATAAAATGATATAAACACTGGGATAAGATTAAAAGATTATCAGAAGAAACATCAGCTATTAAGTAATTTCATAATATAAATGAGGTAAGGTCTATTATTATTGGCAAGGTCTGGCTACCTCAGGAAATATTTTGCTTCGTTTAAAATGGCGAGGGGATGCTGCATGGACGTATTTCTAGTATGGTAATATTATGACACTTTACCTCCACTCAGCTTCAAGTCTTGCAGCAATAGTTTTGAGCATCATTGTTTTGATTGCGTCCATAACTGTAACAAACTGTTCAGATTTCATCCCGAAACCTTTAGCTTTAACCGCATCGGTGGTTGACATTTGAACCACTTGAGTGTTTGGATTTAAATTTGGCCATGTTTTTTTGAGACGATCGATAGCATTTTTTTTTACAGCGGTTTTTTCATGACTTGGGATTAGGTCCCATTTATTGCAGATGAACACGGCACGTTCACAAAGAAAGCATTCAGGGGATTGGTTTTTAACTTTCTCCAAAAGCTTGAGTATCTAGGACAAAATTTCTTTTATTAGTATACAAAATGCCTAATTCATCAAATTTATAGGCATCTCACAGCTACATAGCTACTGTATATTGGTCATTTGGCAATCTGATTTGTCGAAATACCCACCGCCCATATAAATTATTTCCAGTGCGCAACTATAGGGATCCAAGGATATAGTGCAAAGTCTTCATGCCCTCTTATACCTAAGCAACCAGACGTTTGCCCTAACATAAACGAGTCAGGTTTTGACTTTTGTACCAGTAAAAATCTAAGGAGCCCGGTTAAACTTTACCCTCGCATGCTGCTAATGCAACTCGTTAATTTTTATAGCAAAAACGAATTTCTGGCAAAAAGTTGATGACTTGGCATCTTGCGAGCCCTGACCTTGATGTTTGCGGGCGGCAGTACCTAAACAAAGTTAATCATTGGAATGCTATAAAAATAGCTTGTAAGGTTGTAAACTCCAAAGAAATTGAAAGACAAACTATGATATTAGTGTTTGAAAGGCGGACATATTGGAATAAAAATAATTAATAATACTGGTGTGTTAGTATCTGTAATTTGTATAATCTGTTACTGCAAGTAAATTGCATTTGAATAATGCTTTTCTTGTGTGACATCTGGTATTTATTTGTCCCTTTTGTTGGAAATATGAAGTCGTGCATGTAATGGAGCTGATACTAGTAATAAACTCCGACACCATAATTTATTTAGTCTTTCGTAAGATAATTTTTCAAACCATCAACTATAGCAAAATTAAACGTTTGTGTTGGTTGTAAAATGCCATCACTTCATCCGTGAAGAGGTTTCAAATAAATTGACACATAGAAACTGGTAAGGCTAAATAAAATTGATTTGCATAATCACTTTCATGCTGTATTCAAGCAAGTTGTGGTTATTAATGATGGATATTTGGGGATGGGTAACTCACCCGATCACTTTGAACTCCCCCTGCATTACTGCTGTTAATGACATAAACAAAACAAAACGCGGTCAGGAGGTAATCACTCACAACATCATCTAAAACATTTGATTCGCCAATTCCTGGACTGTCAACAATGACTATCTTATTCTACAAAAAAGCATGAAAAAAGTTAGTTAGACATAAAAAATTACCGTTGATATAGAGCATATTTACCGGTTATAAACCCGGGGTTACGGGGCTTCGGCAAAATATTTCCCTATAGTTGATTGTTACTGAGGGGAATAATGCTCTAAACATTTATAATCCACGTTTTACACGAGTGTTCTGAGGCATAAAAACACAAGGCTGTGAAGGCACGCTTTTTACCTCAGGGAAGCGGATAGTGATCAGGATTAACACGTCGTTATAGAAACACGGAGTTTGGGAGAACGAGAAATAATCAGTGGGAAAACGAGCCCGCAGTAGGGCGAGTTTTTCCACGTTATTTTTCCCAATCTCCCACAAGTGTTTGTATAACTATATAGAAACACAGGAAAAAATGTTTTCTATTTCCTTAATAATATAACTCAATAAAAAGATTTTGTACAAATATCATAATTCGATTCAATTGGATTCACAACATCGCTTCGATTGTCAGTTCGGCGAGAAAAGTCCCGTATTTCTGTACAGTTGTAGAAACACGCTTCTTGACCAATCAGAACGCACGTAGTATAAATGTTATGTTATAAATACAGTTAATAAACTGTCATATATCGATAATTCTACCCGGCAATTACAATAAAACGACAGCGTTCCGACTTTTAAGGAAATTTTCTTAGAAAAATTTGACTCTATTGAGGGGAGAGAAGAATAGTTAATAAATTATATTGTTTTCAAATGTTCTTTGTCTCAGCTTAATCAAAACAACCTCCCCCACAGTTTAAATTGTGAGAGCACAGGTAAACGACCAAATATATATAAACGTGGATTATCTTTGAAAACACTAAACTGTGACCTTTATAGTTTACAAATCGAAGCAAACACAACCCGATACAACACATTTCAGCCTCGTACCCAGGCGCTTTAATAGTAAAATATATAAGGTTGCATTCAGGTATTATATAGAGGTCAGCTAAAAAAGCAAGCACGCAAGGGTGCTTGGGGTGGTTTTGTTTGGCGAGGAAGCGCCTGGCAGAAAATGACCGATTTCTGACAAGTCGTGAACGATTTCTGAAAAACGTTTGTATTTTGCAGTTTTGTTTTCATTATTTATACTTTTTTACTGGAATCGACTATCGATGGGCTAGCTAAGTATTATGATTTATGAACGTTTCCTTTAGCGAAGGATCATCTGAAGGTACTTTTATTTAAATATTTTCCGTCGGAGTGATTATATCGTAGAGCACTCGAATAATCGCCCGGCCGTATTTACATAATTATTTACTATTGGGAAATGCGAGCGCATTTACAACATATTAAGAGGTTTCTGTTCATGACATAAAAGATAAACTCATATTCCTTTGTTTACAGGTTTAATAATCCGATGATGAATTTAACGCGATATGGCAACAACTTGAATGTCAAAGTAAATTGTTTGATTTGTGTATGATTTGTAACAAGAAATATTCAATAATAATAATCAACTTTTAACGTTTTTAAAAACCGGTGTATCTGTAAAAACCTGAATCTAATTCAAGTAATTATAGTATATAATTATATTATATTGCATTATATTGTATAATTCATTTGATTGTTTACATGTTGAAATCATTTTCTGCCAGGCGCTTCCTTTGCCAAAACCACCCCAAGCATCCCGCGCGCTCACATTTTTTTAGCGGACCTCTATACAATAACTGAATGCAACATTATTTTACTATTAAAGCGCCTGGGTACGAGGCTGCGACACATTTCGAATTGAATGAAATTATCCTGACTGTACTATATAGCTATAGTACATATATATAAAAATGTATACATAAAAATTTGCTATTTACTGCCTGCTGCACAAATTAGGATTTTCCCACTCGCGAGTCGCGTGGCTTTCACGATTAATATCCACCTCTCTAGCGGTGTATACATAGTCGCCGCTGTTGTAATGGACTACAAAAATTAATATTCAATGCTCTAGCGGTGATTACGAGGAGGGCGGTGTCCAAAATGAAAGCAAAATGTAATATCTACTGGTAAATATTAAATTAAATTAATCTCTTGATTACCTTGAGCAAATCGTGAGGCCAAAATAGTTCACATTTTTTGAAGGGTGATCCTTTTTTGCGATCACCCCTTTGATTCAAATATTCTTCCAGTTGATCAGTATAACTCTTTCCTTCTGCTGGGTCTCGTAAGATAAGCTCTTCTTTGGTTGTCTTCTCGGATTGTAAGGTACGCTTCTCTGGTTCCTGTTCATCTTTGTAATATGCTACAAGCTTTCTTACCTCTCCATATTTTAATTCACAAATAGTTGCTGTCGCAGGCAGGGTACAAGATGGAAGAATTTCTTCTCCAAGGATTAGGTTGACGAAGCTACTTTTTCCAGCGCTAGTCTCGCCTGGATGGTAAAAATGAATAAAATTGACTTTTCACCTTCGACTGCATGATTTGGGCATATTATGGTAAAACGCGGACTGGACTGGACTAGTAAAACACGGACTGGACTAAATTAGTAAAACGCGGACTGGACTAAATTAGTAAAACGCGGACTGGACTAAATTAGTAAAACACGGACTGGACTAAATTAGTAAAACGCGGACTGGACTAAATTAGTAAAACACGGACTGGACTAAATTAGTAAAACGCGGACTGGAGTGAATTAGTAAAACACGGACTGGACTAAATTAGTAAAACACGGACTGGACTAGATTAGTAAAACACGGACTGGAATCGATAAAATTTCTTTAATTTTATAGTTATTAACCCAACAAGAGATTTAAAAAGTCGTATCCCAAAGTTTTGGAAAGGAAGCGTAGAGCCTTGAACATTATTCACGATGTAAAGAAACGAGGAGCGACGAGCGTTGCTTCAAAACAAAATCGAGCAATTCTTTCAGAATCTACGCATTTTATCATCTTATGTTATGAATTACGAGCATTCAATTCAACACAAATATAATTTGAAAGGTTTCGTCCATAAATAGAGCTAAGAGGTTAGGAAGAAACAACGGTCTGTTGTTTATGTAATGATAGATCTCTTACACGAATATATATATTATGTCGATAGCAAGTCGATAACTGGTATTCTGCATAGAGTACATAAATGATACTATACAAAACGGACATTTTGTGCAGTAATCAAATCATTTTGGCGGTATACAGTATGGTATTGATTATAAGTATATTGTTTTGTATCGATTTACGCGTCGAAGTATCCACATCATAGACATAATATGCACCGCGGTTTATATTTACATTATTTACAACGCAACTATTTTGGCTATTCTTATGAAATGACGGATAAATTGGTGCCATGATATAAATGTAGTGAATGTAGTCACAGTCGTTTGACGAAGAAAAGAGACTAAACTGAGAAAATGGCGCCTGGTTTAGATGAGCAACTAAAATTATAATTTAATAGTGACAGTATCCGCGACTAACGTAACTTGAGTACTTTGAGTAATTTCCTTTTGACCTAGTTCATTATATTTTTACTGGCATAAGTCAAAATGTTTATGTTGGTAAAACGTCTGGTTGCTTAGGTATTACAAGGCATGAAAACTTTGCACTATCCTTGGACCCTAGTTGGGCTTTTTTTATCAATGTCGGAATTTTGAAGCTTGCTTCCATGTTTAAACAATGGACGCAAGCACCAAGATTTTCGATTTTTGGCGCGATTGGCGCGTAGTGGCGTCGTCCTTCGTCGACGTCGATCGGAACCATACGGAATGCCCCGGTAAAACAGTTTTCTGGCATGCATTGAGAAATTTTTGGGCAAACTATAGGCTAATACTAGGCAAATCACAATTAAAGAAATTTTATCGATTCCAGTCCGCGTTTTACTAATTTAGTCCAGTCCGCGTTTTACTAATTTAGTCCAGTCCGTGTTTTACTAGTCCAGTCCAGTCCGCGTTTTACCATATGCCCATGATCTGGAGTTTATCGTGTATTTGGATAAATATCTCGAAGGTTATGCGTCTAAGATATTTTCCCTGCATGTCATTCTATTAGGCCTAGCATTCTAAACGGGGAATTTTGGTTAAAACAATACAAAATTTCGACGGTTAAGATATAATTTTCAATAGACACGGCTTTCATGGAAAACAGGTTCAACTATATTAATGCATATAGGCTTGTACTTTTATCTTCGTTATTTTTTTTGTAACCGTTTTAAATAAAGGTTGATTGGATTGCATTGGATTGAGCTGTCGCTATATTACTTAGCCTTAGGCTAAACGAAGTACAATTATTTTAGTTCATCACAATTTAGAGTTTGTATAAACATTTGTTAAATTACCTCTTTTAATTTTTGAGAAATCGTTTTTTAATTGTAGGCAAAATGAGATTTTTCGTTTGCTAAAAAAACGAAATCACTGGAAAGGTTTGGCATATATTCAAAAATTATGGAGATCAATGCAATATAACAATGACATAATAGAATATACCAGTAAAACACTTTTGGTAAAAACCTAATTAATAAAATGTTCTCTTAAGATATCCAGGATTGATTATGGAAACTTTTCAAATTGTATCTTATAAAATTTTCAAAACAGTTTAAATGGTAATTCTAGCCATAATGTGATTTACAAAATTGAGGTCAAGGTAGTTATGTATATAGTTTAGCTTAGAATTTTCTCAATAGACCTTATGCATAATGACGTAACAAGTCGTGACGCCTGCAGAAAATTCTGGTTTTTGTAGTCACGGTGAAAAATTTATTCTTCAAAATTTCCCGCCGTGACCATTAAGACCAGAATTTCCTGCAGCTGTCACGGCTTGTTTCGTCATTATACATAAGATCTATTATAATGTTGTTTATAACTTGAGATACTTTTACTGTTGACATTTTATTAGTAATATTACCTACCGGCAATTAGAACAACATATTCTTTAACTTGGAGCTTATTCATCTTTCGCCGAATTTCATCAACAATGTTTTTGACAGAGAACTTGGTATTCAAACTCTGCAGCATTTTCTCGTCACAAGTTTTTAAAGCATCTTCCACCCTCTTATAGAGACTCAGTAATTCTGTCCGCTTCAATACATCCATGTTTTTCGCATCTGAGAATACGGAAAATGCCTGAAAATAAAAGGGAAAATACTTGTAGCCACATCTTTTATACCAAATATTTTTAAATATAATATTGATTTTTAAACTAGAAACACATGCATGCAGCAACCCCGCGTCATTTTAAACTGCTTGTTTCCGTCATTTCAAAACCACCCCAAAGAAAACTGAAAGAGGTGAAGGCGCACCGATTCACTGTAAATACTGTGGCACAACACACGTTCGACAGAAGGAACGCTGCCCTGCGTTCGGAAAGACATGAAAGAATTGTGGTAGTAATCATTTTTCCCGAGTGTAGCTTAATTTCAGAAAACAAAAACTATTCGAACGAAGCCTCTACACAATGTTACTGAAAATGTTTCAAGTGACTCGGGCGATTCTGTGATGACAGTCGAGTTATCGCCATCAGAATGTGTTTTGACTGTCCAAGATACGCCTCCATACCAATCACGACTAGTAACAGAAATGAAGATCAAAGGTGGAAACGAAGCCACGTTCCAAATTGATACGGGCGCAACATGCAATGTGTTGAAAAAAAGCGCGTTTAAAGGGACAAAATATGAACGGACCATTCAACGTGACAGCAGACCACCTACCATGGATAGCGAAACGGTTGACCCAAGTGTGATGGGTTTCACTCGACAAGAAATTTTTGACAAGTACAGCGACGTTTTCGAAGGACTGGGTGCGTTAGGTCCAGACCTACATCCCAAGACAGACCCAAATGTGTGATTGAACGAACCGAGTTCCCGACCGAGTGGGTCAGCAGCATTGTGGCGAACCGAAAACCCAACGGAAACTTAGGTTGTGCCTCGCCCTTCGACCATTGAACAAAGCTTTGAAACGATGTCACCACCCTATGCCTAACATCGAAGACGTCCTTCCCGAGCTTGCACATGCCAAAGTCTTCACCAAGGTGGACTATCGTAACGGGTATTGGCAAATCAAGTTGGACGAAGAGTCCTCCCTGCTGACCGCCTTCAATACCCCGTTCGGCAGATATAGATGGAAACGGATGCCCTTTGGAATCTCCCCAGCTGGAGAAATTTTTCAACAACGTTTGGACGAAGCCTTCGATGGATTAGAAGGAGTAAGAACAGTGGCTGATGACATCCTCATCACCGGTAATGGAGCAACCATGACAGAGGCTGTCGTTGATCATGACCGAAAGCTCAGTATGTTACTTGATCGATGTTATTTTAACTGATGCTGAAAAGAACTATGCGCAAATTGAAAAAGAACTTCTAGCAATAGTATACGGAAAGGAACGCTTCCACCAATTTACTTATGGACGACCAGTCATAATCGAATCGGATCACAAACCCCTAGAAGCCATCCACCAGAAGCCTTTAACAGCAGCACCCCGCCGCCTTCAGAAAATGATGATGCGATTACAGCACTACGACGTCAATATCCAGTATAAAAAGGGTGCAGAACTGTACTTAGCAGACACTCTAAGCCACCACCACTTGGAGCATACTATACCTACACTAATCATGATGAAATTCAAGCCCATGCATCAACTGTCTGATGCCGAACACATCTCCGAAGACGTTTTAAAAGACGATAAACCAGGAGAAATCAACCAACTCCTTGCAAGCGAAGCAACACTCACGCAATTTAAGGAAGAAACCAACGCAGATCCCGCACTACAGAAAGTCAAAACCTTCATCTTACCTGGATGGCCTGCAAACCCGAAGACCCTGGACCTAACAACAGCACCGTACTTTCACATCAGAGATGAGCTGGGAGTCTAAGACGGCCTCGTGTTCCGAGGAGACAGGTTAGTCATACCAAAGACGCTAAGAAAGCAGATGCTACACGAGCTACACCTAGCCCATCAAGGAATTGAATCCAGCACACCTAGAGCTAGAGAGACAATCTATTGGCTACACATAAATCAGGAACTTAAAGACCATATTTCTCGCTGCGAAGCCTGCTCAAGCTTCAACACAAAGCAGCAAAAAGAACCACTCATTACGCACGAAACACGAGACAGTAGGCTGTGATCTATTCGAGTTTGATAACAAAGAGTACCTAGTGACTGTCGATTAATTTTCATATTTTTTCGAGATCGACCCACTCGAACAACCGACGTCTAAAGCCGTAATAAAGAAGCTTAAAGCCCACTTTGCCCGATACGGCATCCCGGAAACCTTAGTGACTGATAACGGGACCCAATTTACAAGCGACAAGTTCACCGAATTCGCATCAAATTACGGTTTTACCCACAAGCGTACCAGCCCCTACCACCACCAATCAAACGGCAAAGCAGAATCAGCCGTTAAACAAGCAAAGAAACTCTTGAGAACATGCAAAGATTCTGGAGACGACCCATACCTCGCATTGCTGGTCATCCGGAACACAACGCAGACAACACACGAAACGAGCCCGGCGCAACGCAAACGCAATTTCCACTAAACTAGCTAAACCACAATTAAACAAAGATTCCGGACGTCGTATCCAGAAGACACAAGAACGGCAAAGACAATACTACAATCGTGGAGCCCGTAAACTAAGCCTATTAAAAGACAGAGACACTGTAAGAATACAACCGATCAAAATTGGCGAGAAAAGATGGGAAAATGGTCGCGTTATTCGGCGAGTCGGAATACGCTCGTACGCTGTAGAATGCAACGGACGAACTTACATCAGAAACAGGAAATTCCTGCGCAAATCGGAAGAAAAGTACGATGATAACTCGGATGATGATGAGCCTGCGGCTATCTGTGAGAAAGACCCCACGGCAGATACCACTCCGGAAGCTGGAGTTAACGAAAGAGCCGAAGCACAATTAGCTACCAATGGCCGCAGTGGGTGAAACAAATGCAAGAGGACCCCAAACGAACGACGGCATCACAAGAACACCCAGCGGACGAATCGTGACCAGGCCTACAAGATTTGGACTTGAAAAATAGAACTTATGGAACTGTACAAACAAACACTAGAAACTGACCAGTTCTCCATAAAGAAGGGAGGATGTTACACGTATTACGTTGAGTTTTGTTGACAGTAAATTATAGTCACGTGGCTATATCGTATGGCTAGGAAACACGTTTTACCAGGAATTGGAGCTCGTGGACATAAAACGAAAGTAAACTATTACTGTTTAAGATAGAAGTTTGAGCTACTTTTAAACCATTATTATGTATAAAATAAAGCTACAAAACACAACTGAAGCAAAATATTTCATGACTTACGCCTGACAAACACAACTGAAGCAAAATATTTCCTGACTTACGCCTGTATTCTAAAAGCTTACTCACACACAAGTTACTCACACACAAGTTTTTAATAATCCCCGAGCCGGTGCGGAGCACCGTGCGAGGGTACTAATTCCGCTCGGATATTTACACCCAGGATGTGCAAAGGCGAAATCAAATTAAAGTTGTCCGCCATTATGCAATGGACGTCACCCCATGGACGGTGTTCTACCTTATGCGCTTGCACCAGCGTAAACTACTAAGCTCTTGATTGGTCGAGACAAATATTTGTATTTTTAAACCTGTATAACTGTCATTTCGCAAAATTTTGAAGAAACTTATAAATATATTTTCATATTATTTATATTTTCATAAATATGGAATATATATATATTTAATTACATTAGAGGGAAACTCGAATGTGGTCAGGACTTTTTACGGTTTAACAAAAAAAAAACAAGACTAAATTTTCGACTGAATTCAACGTGTATAATGAAGTTGGAAGATTTTACACAGGAAAATAAGACCCGGCACATGTATAAAAAGTCATTCTTTTGTGGTAAACCATAGGCGGCCCAGAACTGATCTCACTGACCTCGCGCTACGCTCATGTTGTCTGAACAGTCTTATATTATGACAAGGTAGGCAACTCTCACGCCAAATAAGCTAAAAACGCACGACGGTTGACCCAAACACCTTCACAAAACCGCAAATATTTCGTAAAAATATGGCGAATGAGAAAAAAAAAAGTACAACACATTAAACTTGAATAATTTTACTACATTTATGCTATATTTTTAGCATTCAAATGTATTCCTATGCATGTATAAAACGTGAATGTTTTTTGGGTTTCTGTCAAACATATTTCAAAACCTATGCTGGGGACACCTTGCCTATACCTTCGTCATATTTCTAAATTGAGAATAGAAAGCTGATTGGCTCTTTTTAAACGACAACCAATCAGCTTTTTATTCTCAATTTAAAAATATGACGAAGGTATAGGCAAGGCACAGATTAACACCCAGATGTCTCACTTCTGACTCAAAAGCGTAAGCGATTCGTCACTGCGCATCGCTTTCTGCGCACGCTTAGCAAGTGACTAGAGGCATTCACCCCCCCGAAATAAAATTTCAAAATGGAGACGAACTGAATTGAAGTGAAAAACTGCACGATGTGTCTAATGAATCGGAATATATGTACATTTATTGATTTGTACAGGAAGTGCCATTCAATGTAAAGATATTCAAACACTTTTTAAAAGAAATATGTTTGAAATTATGGAGATTTCTACTGCTTATAATTTTCCGCTCCTACGACAATCGAAAAAAGATAGAACACTCGTACAATTTTGAAAACGAGGTACTCTAAACTCACTTTTCCAAAGCGCGTATAGATCATGATGGATTCAGACACAAACTTAACTACACAGTCGCTTTCTCTAGCAAATGAGAGGAGGTTTTTTTCCATGTATAAAATAGTTCGGCTCCATTTTGAAATTTCGGGGGGGGGGAATGCCTCTAGTCACTTGCTGAGCAAGCGCTTACGCTTTTTTAATCAGAAGTGAGACATCTGGGTAATCTGTGGGCAAGGTGTCCCAAGCATAGGTTTTGAAATATATTTGCCAGAAACCCAAAAAACATTCAGGTTTTATACATGCATAGGAATACATTTGAATGCTAAAAATATAGGATAAATGTAGTAAAATTATTCAAGTTTAATGTGTTGTACTTTTTTTCTTCTCATTCGCCATATTTTTACGAAATATTTGCGGTTTTGTGAAGGTGTTTGGGTCAACCGTCGTGCGTTTTT